CCCCTGCCTATTAATTCTTAGAGGAGACTCTGGTACCCACTTCTGAAATGTTCAAAGGAGTTTTTATGATTTCTGGAGGAAAGAACCTTTTTTTCCTACCAAGTCAAAAATGCTAAAGGTCGTCAGAGTTTTCAGATACTCTTGAAACTATTCTGCAACAGATGTTTCTCAACTAAACATTCACTTAAAGATCTCCTTTTGTTTTCATGTATATATTTCTTCTAGGCCCGTGTTTAGGAAAATCTCTAGTAATGTGCTAAAATCAGAAAAAATAAGTTTCTAATTCCAGGGAACTCCTAGAGTTTCAGAGAACTGACAGAGAAGGAGATACAAAGTGAAAAATCTTGAAGAACACTTTTGCTTGGAAAGTGAAATTTAATAAATATGAATCTGCTACTGTGAATAATTTGCCAACTCTCTGCCTCCCAGAATATAGTATAATATATAACTAGAAATTTAGGATGAATTTAGCAAAAAGCTAATATCATTTGGATCCTGATTCAAGCAAAATGAAGAGGTAACAATAAAATAGAGAAAACTGGGGCAAGTTGAACACGGACTAGATATCTGATGACATTAAGTAATTATAAAGTTTTTAGACATACTAATGGTGTGATTTTTTTTGTGTGTCTTTACCTTTTAAAGATACACAGTGAAATATTTTAGGATGACATGATTTGCTTTTTAAAAGTCCAGTTGGGTGATACAAATATCAAATCATTATATGGTACACCTGAAACTAACAAAATGTTGTAGGTCAATTATACTTCCATTTAAAAAAAGAAAAAAAATCTTTAAAAAAGTAAAAAGATGAAAAACCCTGAAAAAAAAATCCAGTTGGGGGATTGTGGGTGGGGGTGTAAAGGAAACAGGATTGGTCATGAGTTGAGGTTGATGAGGGCCACACAGAGTTTGATATACTGCTGTTCTCTCTACTCTTGTATTTGTTTGAAATTTTGCATAATGTAGAAAACACCAGAACAACTAAGTTGCACTAGAGTGGTCCTGAATTATCTATCTGATAGATAATTTCTTTATTTCACATTTGTTGTTCAACAGGAGCCGGGTGCTGGTTGTGTGGAGGGGTCTGTATGAGGCCGAGTGGTGTGAGTTGAGGTCTGCATACAGCGCCCTGGTGACTTGACAGGTAGGGACACTACTGAGAACCAGGCAGGAAGCTCTCTTTGTTGGTAAGAAGTCTACTCCCCGGTTCCTATGAGGAGCTTCTGTTTGGGGGCACAACACCAGCCATCCTGGGGAGGGTGCATGGGGCTTCAGCCAGCCCTGCTCCAGGGATCCAACAGTCAACAAGGCCAATGAGGTGCCCCAGAGGTCAGAAGCTGAAAACAGACACCCACAGCCAGCTCTTCACAAACAAGAGGCTTTATTTTTATGCTGTACCCCCACCCTCTGCCAAATAAGTGGGGAGAGCATTGAAAGGGCTGACTTTGCTGTCGAGAGCCACTGAGTGCAAGTGAAGCTTAGACTCGTGCCTGGCGCAGTGGAGCAAAGGGAGAAGGACCTCGGTCTCTGGGGAGTGCCCCACCTCAGCAAGACACCTCCCAGAGTTCTGCAGGAGGGAGTGAACGCAGACCCACACTGCACAGGAGATCCGTCCCTCTTTTGGCCCAACAGCAGAAAGAAGACGTCCTAAGAGCTTTGTGAAAATGTCTTCCCCTTGGTGGCGGGTCACAGGCCTGGATAATCCCTGTCCTGCCCTGTCAAGATGGTCAGCTGTCATCCATCTCTCCAGCCAAAAGGCCCGTCCCCAGTCGGCTCCTGGGAGATCTTTCCAGACAACATTACATTCTTTTTTTTTTTTTTTAAAGATTTTATTTATTTATTTGAGAGAGAGAGAGAGAATGAGAGAGAGAGCACGAGAGGGAAGAGGGTCAGAGGGAGAAACAGACTCCCTGCTGAGCAGGGAGCCCGACATGGGACTCGATCCCGGGACTCCAGGATCATGACCTGAGCCGAAGGCAGTCGCTTAACCAACTGAGCCACCCAGGCGCCCCAGATATTACATTCTTAAGAAGGCTGTCTCCTTTGGTTAACAAGACCTTTTAGCTTTCATTTGAATTCTATATAGACAGCCAGAACATGCCCACACACAACGCCCCACTGAAGGCTGGGGGTGGAGGAGAAGGATGTTCCCTGGTGTTGTGGTCACTTATCTCTGAGCTTTGCCTGCGAGGTCCCTATTACCCCCATATGACTCTAGATCTTGCCCGAACCAGTAAGTGTTCACAATCAGATCATAGCTCCCTCCTCCTTAAGGCCGTTCAGTGGCTTTCCAGTTGTTCTCCAGACACAGACTAAAACGTTTGACAAGTCTGACCTGGCCCCTCAGGTTCTGGCCCAGGGAACTGAACCTTTGAGCACGTGTCTGAAGCCGGGGCCACTTCCCCCACTGATAATCTCAGGGTGTATAGCATAGCCTAGCCGGGACAGACAGACTCTAATTCACTATCTCCAGATCAGTCCTCCATTCATCCCTGATAAGATACCCCGAGAAAGAATGATAAAAGGCAGATTTCTGGTTGACAAACTGGAAACTCGGCCAGGAATATGTCCTTGCTGGTCAAAGAGACCAAGGAAAGACCTGGTGTTGGAATCCAAAAGCCATGCAGTGGGCTTCCCATCATGCTGGTGCCTGCCGCCCCCAAATAAAGATAGAGAGCATGGTGTCTAGAAGCCAGAGAGCAAGGGGGTGGGATTCTTGGGTAGCAGAAGGGGGCTCTGTTTGAGCACGGTGGCAGCGGGGCGGTACGGTTTACACAGCCTGCAAGGCACCCCCTGATGCTCCGAGGGGTTGCCAGCCATCTCCCTCCTTCTCTTTGACTGGGTATCAGCTACTGTTCCTTCAGCTCCCAGCAATGTCTTCAGAGGTCAAGAGACACCAGTCGCATGGCGACCCAGTATGAACAGTGCTCCCTGGGGTTATGCAAGTCAAGGGCCTTGACTTCACTTCCTCAAGCAAGCCCCCATGACCCTCCTGACCAGTCCAAATCCCTCTTGAAGCTACAGGACCCCTCATGGATGTGTCAGAGAGTGGTCAGATCTGTCACACACACACACACACACAGACACACACACCCCGACTAGAAGCTCTGTGAGGGCGTTTGTTGAGTGTTTCACTGTTATATCCCCACTTGATGGCCCATGTCCGGCCACAGAGGAGATACTCAATAAATGTTGAATGAATGAACACATTCCCATCCCACCCGCTTGACTCCCGACTGTTGCAGGCCAGCCACCCACCCTGAGCTCCTAAAGATCTGATGCAGTTTGGGAGGCGTCAGTTATCTCTATGTTAGCCCTTTTTCTGTCTGAGAACCGGGACAGTTTGTGCTGAATCATTCTGCTGCCTGGAGCTAAAGACTCCCCAAGGCCACTTCCCTGCGTGTGGGACTCCTGGCATCCCCGGGAGAAATCGGCGGTCCTGCCTCCTGCTGCCACACGTGGACACCCTTTCCTAACATCCTTTTCCAGTTTGAGCTTCCCTCAATGCTCATTGTAACCCAAATCCAGGAATCTGAAGCTGTGGGGTGAGTGAGGATAAGCAGGGGAAGGGGTCAGGGAGGCAGGCATGCCGGGCGTCCTTACCAGTGGGTATGCTGGGGTGATGCGCATGGCTATGTCCCTGTCACCACACTTCCTCCCCAGAACTGATGGCCCTCAGCTAGGAATCCAGTGTTTGATGAATATTGCTTCTGTAAATGGAATCCCATTTTTCCATCCCCTTCTATCATCACACATCAAAATGAATTCTCCTATGAAAACGTTCTGTTCCTAAGATACAACACAAATCACAAAAATAATCCACCAAGCATATCTTAATCATATCCTTGGAAAACTAGATGTTTTTGATAAAAATTAATTAAAATCACTTCCTATATACACATGGTACCAAAATTTTAAGGAATTGCTAAATCCTAGCTTCCTCTGGGATGAGTGTCCCTTATCTCGAGTGGCAGGAAATAAGGAAAATATTTTCTTTTAAAACCCAACAGTTGTAACTGTCTCTTCTTAAGTCTTTGATCTGTTGTAGTTGTTTATTATACAGTTCGGATTCCGGAAGATTAAGGGCTCCAACTTCTTTTATAAAGAAGGTGAGCTTGTCTTGACCATAAAGATCATTTCCATGATTCATCATTATCCAGGTATTGACATGAGGCTCTATTTTGTCTAATTTAGAACTCATAGACAGGTGCTTACAGAAGTCCCCATGTTCTGTTGGTCGCCGGGCCCAGGTAGCTCCTGTCCAACACAGATCCCAGCCTGGGTGGGCAAACCAAGCTTTGGCCTTGCCAAGAGTCACTGTGACCCAGTGGTAACTTAAGGATTTATTGACATCATTGCCCTATAATATTTATTTTGTATGGTTATTAGTTTATTCTGTAGCCAGCTACTTTTTTTTTTTTTTAACAGGAGACATTATTTTATTTTATTCCACTAAAAAAATGTTTTGCAGCCTTTAAGATACCCAGAGTCCTCAAGGGACACCAGATGGCAAACATGTTGTTTGGGAATCTGCAAACCCCCTCCGGGGGGTGGAAAACAGGTACTAGGAAATCTCCAGAGGAGCCTATTTTCTCTTCCCTGCTCCCTGCCCACCCCCCTTCTCACGGCCATGGAAACTCCCAGGGCTACAGCAGCAGTGATTTCCCCCTTGGCTGCTGGAGTTAAAACTGAGACACCAGTGCCTTCCCGTAGGAAAGGGGTGGGTTGTGGACCAAGTGAAATTCCTACCCATGAGCCATATGCAGGGGATGTCCAGCTGTACCAGAAGGAAATTTCCCCACCCCCGCCTAATTTTTACCCACCTGAGCTACTTTCCTTCCCATTTCTCCTCCCGCCCCACCCCCACCCTGCCCCCTTCGAATGGTATCTGTCAGGCTGCCTGGGCTGCTCTGCTGTCTAACCCCTGAAGGTCACAGGACTGAACACCTCATTTGTCAGCAACAATGACTTGAATGCTGTTCCCTCAGCGTCATAGTCTAGCGAGGGAGGGAGTATATTTCCTCATAGGGGGGAGGAGAGAAGCAGGCGGAGTCCTCGTCTCCCAGCTGTGTCTCTTCTAGCTGGTTAGCATCAGGGCTGGATCTGAAATGGGAGCAGAAAACACAGACCCGGTACAGTCCACGCCGCCTCTCTTGGAACCAGCGCCGCCATCTTGGCAACAGGCCACACGGATGCTTGCCTTCTCCCAACACCTTCCTTACACACCAGACAAAGCCATGTGCCGCGACTGTGACAGGTGGAAGGGGAGTGTCCCCATGCCACTCAACATACCTTTCATTTCCACTGGCCACAAAGGAAGGGTAGTCTTGGTCACCAACAAATGCAGCGTTCTCTGGAGGATAGATGGTGTAGTACTGAGGAGGGCTTGGCATGGCGCTCACCACCCCTCCAGGTGGTATGAGACCACAGGGGTTCATCACTGGCTGCAGGTAGGTGGTGTTCATCCCAAGGGGCTCTTGAGCACCGTAAGGAGGGATATACTGCACCACAGTGGCCCCATGGAAGGTGATGGGTTGGTTGATACCAGTGAAAACAAATGATTGTCCTCCTGCCGTCTGCTCCGAATCCAGGGCCCTTTCCTCACTTTCCTTGCACACCTGGCAGGAGAGCATTTTGAACTTGCACACAGCAATCAGGATGAATGTCACCCCGACTGACAGCAGGATGGGCCCAAGAAGCTGGGTCCATTCAAAGTGGGAGACACCTTGGTATTTGATCCAGCCCATGACGGTGAACGTGATCCCCACCAGTCCCAGGAAGATGCCTGAGAAGAGCAAGGTGGCCCCTGCCTTGTCATCATCGGACACCTGGATGTCAGCGGTGCTGGGTGTGTAAGGAGTGATGGAAAACACGTTGAGAGGGGAGTCCTCCAAGCGGCTGCTGCCTTGCTCCATCGTCCGCCCGTGATCACCCCGCTTCCTGGAGGGGAAGGGAATGTGAGGGCTCCTAAGAGCCGAGTGGAGTAATAATAGGCTCAGATTAGTTATGGAAGAACTTTGGGCCCCTGTGGTTAACAGAGTATAACATGCAGAGGCCTGAACTTTGTTTAGAAGAATAAAGGTCTGAGAAATGAAGCTTGAAGTTTTCTATTCTCTGTCAACGATTGGAGGTTTCTGTTTTACAATTCAGTGACAAGCTCTCTCTCATTCACATTCCTTCACTCATTCAAAAGTATTTGAGCCTGTCCTCATGTGCTAGGAGACGCTTTCCTAGATGCTAAAGGCATTGCTCCAAGGCCATTTGCATCCTACCAAAACCAGGACTGGAGAGATGGCAGAGCCACAACCGGGCCTCTGGTGGAATGGGGGCCCTTGATGTACCCCTTACAGGTTCAGACACCTCACCCACTTTTCCTGCTGAGTCAGCTCACAGGAAGTAAGCAGACACCCATTTCTTGACTGTGTTTGCCCTTCCCACATCAGGAGCTTGAGCTGGGATGACACTTAACCTCCCACACCTCTCACTGAGCTCTGAGGCACTGTCTTCTGGCCAGCCCGTGTGCCTTTTGCTTTCAGCATGTGGGGAATAGCTCCAGGCTGTGGGGAGGAAGGACAGCTTAGGAAACGCACCACATCATTGGCAAAGGTTGAATAAGCATCAGGTATGACCTGGCGTCTAGGGGACACCTGCTTTGGACCCTCCCTCCATGGTGGCAGCACAGCCCCTGGTCTCCAGGGTGAAGTCAAGAGCTACATTTTCAAGGCTGCTGTGTTTTGCAACCAAACCCAAGCTAATTTAGAGAAGAAAGCTTGTCTTTAATGACATTATCTGTCATTCATAACTACGGAATTGCAAAGCAGCCCCATGAATGTCTTCCTTTGCAGAATAGTAGGTATAGCCCTTTTTTCCTTTCCTGCACAAGTCTTATCCAAACAGATGTCTCTCTTCAGTGGTTAAATGTTATATTAGCTCCCTTTGCCAATATTGAGCAGAAGGTCCAGGAAAACAATTGCCCTCTTGCCCTAGGCAGGGATTCCCAAACTTTCCTGATGATAAAAATCACCAGGTCCACTTTTTTAAAAGGCAAAATCTGAGTTCCTTACTCAGACCAGCAAAAATAAAATTTCCAAGGAAGTCTAAGAGCCCCAAGTGGCTTTTCTCATCAGGAATCTTTGTAAACCCTACTCCAAGTTAATCCCAAGTGCTCCTAGGAGACCAGGAGACTTTGTTCCCCACCAAAAATGCCTCCCCCTGCTACAGGATAAGGCCTGTAGTCTCCACCTTCATTTCCAGATGGGAAAGCAAGCAGGTGACCCCCTAGGGAGTGTTCCCAGGTGTGTCCCTGAGCAGCCAGGATGGAGTGGTGGTGCAGTTGGAGTGGTCTGCCCTTTTCCCCACTGAGCTGGATCAAAGATCCAGGGAAGCCAGCTTTTCTCTTTAATCATCAAAATTCTGCTCAGCTAGCCTGACATTCTTTTCATGCTCTTAATCCCTGAGTTAACAGCTGAAACAGTCCCTGGCATTTAGAAAAAGCTAGGCTCTCAAAATTCTTCTTCTCAATCACTCGGTAAATGTTTCTCATTTGTCTTAAGCTACATCCACTTGCAGTTAAGAGAATGACTGGGAACACTCAAGGAGCAGAGCAGAGAGATCACGTTAACGAAAATACCCCATGAGAACAAAACTGGAATAACTTTTAGAGCAGACAGTTCAGGAAATTCTCTAAATTTCCAAGGTCACCTTGATTTAGCTTCTCACTCCAAAAGCTCAAACTCTGTCTATATGGTAAATAACAATTTTTAAAAGCCTAACAAACCAAATTCAACAGGATATTAGAAGGATCATGCTATGACCCAGTGGGATTTATTCTTAGAATGCAAGGATGGTTCAACATTCAAAAATCAATCAATGTAATCACAATGTAATCACATCAACAGAATGAAGGAGAGAGAAAAAACCCTATGTACTTACCTCAACTGATATCAGAAAAAAAGTGTTAAGGATTTTTTTTTTTTTAGATTTATTTATTTGAGAGAGAGAAAGAGAGAGAGTGCACACCAGTAGGGGGAGGGGCAAAAGGAGAGAGTCCCAGGCAGACTTCCCGCTGAGCATGGATCCTGACTCGAGGCTTGATCCCAGGACCCATGAGATCTCCACCTGAGCTGAAATCACAAGTCAGAAGCTCAGCTAACTAAGCCACCCAACTAAGCTCAACCAACTAAGCCATGCCCCCAAATGTTAAGGATTATTGAACATTTATGATGGACCAGGCATGATTCTAGGTATTAAATATACATGGTATCATTTCATCTTTTCAACAACCAGGTTATGGTCAATCACAAAAACTATGCTGGCATGGCAGCCTCACAGCTGCTGGGCCTTGGGCACCCACAACCCCAAAAGAACATCGGACTCTGCTTTTTCCTCTAAAGTCATTTTGATTTCTCTCTTCTTTGTTTAGATCTTATTTATTAACTAATGATGTGTTTAATATAATTCTTATATATATATATACACACATTATTTCCACTTGTAGATAACTTCTAGAGTTATGTCATGTATTACATTTAAAATTTAGTAGATTGCATATTATTTCAACCATTAATGTATTTCAGCATGGGAAGAGACCTTTAAAACAATAAAATTATTTTAGTATGAAAAAAGAAAAGAAAACTATGCTGATAATTAAGCTCCAAACCATCCTTAGATACTCTGCTTTAGCTGAGACTCTGCTGTGTATATTTTTCCTTTGCCAGGTGGCTCCATGTTAGGCTCTGGTACTGGGGGCACTGGAGGGAGACTGCAAGGGAAGAGCAAGGAGAAAGAAATTACTGTGTCCTATTTTGCTTGCTCTTACTGTCATTGTCACTCCAGGAGATTTCATCATCCTGGCGGTAACAGTTCCGGTTTCCAGGGGGTTCCCCCCAACACACCGAGACCAGCCTTGCTGGCCCCTTCAGAAATACCAGCATCATATTGTATATTTGAAAGTTGCCAAGACAGTAAATCTTAAAAGTTCTCCTCACAAGAAAAAAAAAATTCTGTATCTGTGTATGGTGATGGATGGTAAGTAGAATTATTATGACTATTTCACAATATCTATAAACATTAAATCATTATGCTGTTTCATTTGAAACTAATATAATGTATGTTAATTTTTAAAAATTACCAGCAGCAGTCAGACAGTGGCTCCTCCCCAGAGGCTTTTGGGTTTTGGTTTTGTCTACTAGATCACCGGTTTATTAGAAAATGATGTAACTCAGTGACAGGCAGATGGTCTGGGGAAAGGGCAGGGAGTTCCCGTGCTTTCTCAGAGCACACCACTCTCCCCAGCGCTCCATGTGCTCACAACCCTGGATATTCTCTGAATCCATCCTTTTGGGTTTTATGGAGTTTCCCCAGAGCTTCTTGGCCCAAGAGCCTCTGATGTCAGCACTAGCTGAGTGGCATTTTCTATTCAGAAAGCTGGGTCCCAACTCCATGGAGGTGCACTTACCAGATATTTTGGATTTAATATGTTAATTAGTACAGCTGAGAGTGGCTTTAAAGGTGTACATGATTGGTTGACTGAAAGTTGGGCTTTCTGGTGGCCTATATTCAATGAGACTGAGATACCAGAGTTTCTCTGATATAACGTAGAGAAATTCAAAGACATTGGGAGATAGAGATGTTGGAGTGAATTTTTCATGACTAATTTGCACACCAATTTCCCACCCCTTGATCCCTTCACTAAGGCATTGACAAATAGCCCAGCACGGAGAGCACCAGCGCCCTTGAAAAGCTTTCTGATGGCTGTCTTCTATAGGCCAGGTATGATGTTAAGAGATTTTGCCAGTGAGGTAGGCTCCCTGATTTTAATGGGGATGACGTGCAAATTTCAGACTAGTAGAGGCCAAGTGAAAGCACTAATGGGCAATAGGGATGAAGGATTACTAGAATATTTTGACCCACAATAATCTGTGTTTATGGCAAACTGATCATAGCGTCCCTAGGAACAAAATGCATGAACATCCTACAAAAATGTTACTGGATTTGTAGAACAGGAAAAAATCCAGATCTGGGGTCCAAAATCCTGACTTGTGTTATCATCACAGAGAGTCAAGGTTTCTTAGCAAGTTTTCATACTTAAGCTGCTCAGAAACCTGGAGCTCCATGACTGAAGAGGAAACTGGGATCCCTCCCCTTGATAAAGAACTCTGCAACACTGTCTCAAGGATATTCTTTTTTTTTTTTTTTAAGATTTTATTTATTTATTTGACAGAGAGACACAGCGAGAGCAGGAGCACAAGCAGGGGGAGTGGGAGAGGGAGAAGCAGGCTTCCCGCTGAGCAGGGAGCCCGATGTGGGACTCGATCCCAGGATCCTGGGATCATGACCTGAGCCGAAGGCAGATGCTCAACGACTGAGCCACCCAGGCGCCCTGAGGGATATTCTTTAAATCATCCTCCAACTATTCCTTCAAGGACCTACAGCCATTTGCCCTTACTTCTTGGGAATTGATATACATTGACTCTGAACTGATACTCATTTCTAGGGACCCAAAATGCCACTGTGGTCCAAAAGTCAAAGTGGGGGGGGCTCTTGATGGTCAGGTGATACATGGAGTTTTGTCTTGTTTAAATGACAAAGGGGCCAGTAGGTCTATGAGTCCACCGTGTGTTTATTTCACTAGTTCTTGAATGTACAATATTTGGCAATTGGCAAATCCCCAATTGGCTCCCTAACCTATGGAGTGAGGGCTACTCTGATAGGAAGAGCCACGTAGAAGTCCTTCCTTATTATGATAGACATACAAAAGTAATTCCACTTTCCTGGGGGAATGGCAGAAATGAATGTCACCATCAAAGAGACAGGGGTGAAAGAGTCGGGGTGATGATACCTATCACAATCCTGTTGAACTCACCTATTTGGCCTATAAAGAAGGCAGATAAATCATAAATGATTATGTACAAGTTTAATCCAGTGATGACTCCAGTCATAGCTGGTGTTCCAGAT